TATTGGTTAATTCCGCGCTTACATTACTCACTTAGCTGGGCTTCTTCATAATTATACTATAACTATATTTATGGTGGCGCACTGCTTACTTCCCACCACCACCGTGCTAACCTGGCGGAAGAATATCAGCCGAACCTTCTTAAATGGTTCATATTAAATTGGTCGAAACCTCTATTAACACTTTGCAGAGACAGTTCAGATTGTTAGCAGCATGCCGAATCGACAAGCACATCGTTGAAATACGTTTATATTTCCATTGAGAGAACTTTAAAGTTAATCTCGGTGTCTTGACACAGTACTGTTACAGCAACCTGTAGTTCACCTGCTAAATGTTGGTGTTTGTTATAAAATATAAAATGAGTGATAGTAAACAAAAGTTGAAGTCCACAGCACAGCAAAGGGTTAATCATCCTAACACACTTGGTCATCTGCTTACACGTGATTCATTGGATTAAGTCTGCTTTGTTGCCTTGTTGTAAGCCCTCAACAAGCACCATATTCAGAAATATTGTCTACATATGGATATATGGGTAACATGAAGCAGGGAGAGAAATGGGAGGATTATACTACAAGAACATCTTGTATAAGGATGAAAGGCTTAAGGCACTAGACAGCACAAATCCTTCACTCAGTTATTTTATCTATTTATATTTATTCATTTACAACTTCACAATTTATTCCAACTGTAAGACACAGAAAACATACGTCACAAGTTGTGCACTAATCAAATACCCCCGGTTTTGATAGTGTTTTGAAAGAAACAAATCAGTGACATCTTCTAAATCACTTCTTAAAGCAAATCTCTTTTTAAAAAAAAGCCTTTTATTTATTCTTGCATGCTGCTTAATGTCTCATATTTTGCAAGTATTATTGTTCTTATTAGCTATGGGTATTTTATTCTTTCATTTGTATATTTGTAACTGTTTATATTAATTGCCCCAGTGCAGATACTTTTGCAATATCTTTGATCTTTTTTTAAAATTCTCTTTTATTCTAGCTCAAATCCATAGGATTTTAATTGTTCTGGTTTTATTTTGTAACTTTGTTTTGAAAGGTGCTGTATAAATAAGGATTATTATTATTATTATTATTATTATTATTATTTGAAAACCTAAAATTAATTAAGCTGTGAAGAAAAAAAACAGAAAATATTTGGGATTTTTACTTGAAGAATAAAGTTAAAGGATTACTATATTATGAACGTTATCATCAATTTGACAAATGAACGAAACATTTCAGCACAGTCTTCCTCCTGTCTGTCCCTTCCAGTAGAGGACTGTCAGAGCTTCTGCGGTGCTCAAACAAAATGTGTACCACGCTGCTGTTGATTTTACGCTAATAAGCAAATTCCCAGAGTTTATTTTGGTTCAGGCCAGGACGGAGCGTGGCCTGGGTGGTCATGTGCTGCCTGCATGGTATCTGGCACACATTACTATGGCCTAGTCTGGTTGCACTAAGTCGACCTTGTCTGGCTGGCGGGGGGTATTAACTTGTTGACAATCTTCCTCCTTATCTCTTGACTCAACTCAGTTGTCAGTGTAGGAGAGACTACAGCAGTGTAGGTAGTGGTTTATAGTAAATGAATACACACACTGTTTTAGTAGTAATAACCTGTGCCTGTTTTTCACTGAAGTGAAACTTACTCAGACTAGGATTTTAAAGAGACATACCCCTCAGTTTTACATGTGTTTCTATTGTTTCAGACCTGTTTCCAGATCAGAATGAGTAGTTTTGGAATTTAAAAGAAAGTAGTAGATTAGAAAACAGTGTACTACCACCAGCGTAGAGACAGAAACTGCAGTCAGTCTGGACTAGTGCAAGCGGCTTTACAACAGGGTCCAACAAGGGCAAGGAAGTAAAGGAAATACACGCCTCAGACAGCTTTTGAAGGATAAGGTGTGTGCTCCTAACTGGCTGCTACTATTATTACTATTTTTGTCTCTTCATTAATCCGTGTGCTCCATAAATACAACTACTGCCAATGTTTCAGCCTGCAGGTTTAGGGTTTGTTGTTGCGTATCTCTTACTTTTGCACACATCTCAGTACAATCAGACAGCACGATGTGCCACACTGTCACTGACATAGTAGCAGTCCTGTTAACGTATAATACTAACAGAAAAACAATACAAAATTAATACATTAAAACAATTACAGATGATAATAATAATAACTTGTACATAACTAATTTAATTTAAATATTAGGGTTTGTTTTAAAGGATCAGTGTGTAAGATTTAGGGTAATCTAGCAGTGTAGTTGCAGATTGCAACCCCCTCGCT